CCCCTGACTAGCGTGATGATAATATGTTGTGTAGTATGACAAGTGACGTAGATATATAAACATTATGTATTACGAAAGGTCCACAGGTGATAATTTATTGGTTATTACCGTCACTATTAGAAATATGATATATTGCATTATGGTTATATTGTGAAGTATATCCAGGGTTGAGTGCTTGTAGTTCTAGTAGTTCTCAGTAGTAGCACGGAGTCTGGAATTGTGCCCGGTATATGACAATAGGCTCACCCCTATTACATGGGACTCACAACATAAATAGTGAAAAGTGGGTGTTACATTAAACATGGCATAATATGCACCGCTGCCTACCCCTTCCTGGATAAAAGGCATGAATTTAGTGTGTATAACTTTTTAGTTTTGTAAAACACTGAAATTCATCACATGTTATATCACCATAACTAATTATAGGAAACCTAAAACATAACTAAAGACTACTCAAGGTCAAAATTAAGTTGAGACATCCAGGAAAAGCAAAATCATGCGGTGACTAATGAATTTTTGATGGCGTTCAAAATGAAATTGTAATCAACTGGCCTTGGTTTTAAGAAGACAGACCTTGGGGAAACCGGAATTAAGACAAGACATATGAGACATATTGTACAAAAGAGTTCTTTATACTGTGTATAACCGTTTGTGTTACTATGGAACTATAAATTGTTTTTAAGATACAAATTATGCTTGTGTTCATGTAGTTTATTTTCTTTAAGTGAAGTATTTTGGTTAGTTTAATTAGTAAGTTTCAAATATTTCGTCGTGGTGGCCCGGAGGTTTAAGCAGCCGTCTCTCATGCATGAGAGTGCGAGTTCGAAACCTACCAACGGCTGTACCAATGTGACTTTTTCCGAGTTATATATACTTTCTAAGATTATCTAGACACCATTGACAAACGGTGAAGGAAAACATCGTGAGGAAACCTGGGCTTATAATTTCTAATTATAAGTTTGTAAATCGCCAACCCGCATTGAGCAAGCGTGGTGATTAATACTCAAACCTTCTCCGTGTGAGAAGAGGCTTTGCTCAGCAGTGGGCATTTATAGACTGTTGATGATAATGCACAATATTATCAATGGATACAGACAGTCTGGACAACCTGGATCTTAGGCTTTCTCTATATACACACCACAGAGTCTGCCATCACCTACACACCTTTTTATACCGACCAGAACCAGACCCTATGGTGTGGTGTGTCGCGATCCGCGCGTGCCTTAAAAAGCCATTAGACACTCACAGATGGAGCCCAATAGAGCTGATGCCGATACGCAACCACGGAGTACTTAACGGGTAGCTGGGGCTCCGGCTCTAAGTGCAGGAGTAGGAACGGGGTGGTTTTTAGTCAGTAAGTATATGACACTCCCTTTCGCCTCACTCGGGTGGGAGAAGTCTTTGCAAAACCTTCACGATTTACAGGTGAATTGGAGATTGCAGATTAAAAGGACCAGTCTAATCAGAGAGATACAATGCCCAGTGTCTGTCAATGTGTAATCGCTTAGTCAGTTCATATTATACCCACGGGAAGAGTAGAGATGGTAATTTAACTCTACTATACTATAATTATACATGGCTTTAATGATATTTGAACCTAAAAAAGTGCACATTCTATATTTTGTACACTCATGGGATACTCATGGGATGGTACACACTTATGGGATAAGCCGATAAACAATCAGACGGATTACCTAAATAATGGTAAGCAATCGGCGTCACCCATGGACACCCGGACCACCAAAGGCGTTACAAGTGCGTTACTGGCCTTGTGAGTATTAGGGATTTGAGGATTGTTAGAAATAGTAATTGGGCATCCGGCAACCTCACTCACACGACGAAACACAACGCAAGCGTTGTTTCACGTCGATTTTCACTATGGCCGTGGTGTCACTGCGGTTGAACCGGCCCATTCGTGCCAAAGCATGGCTCTCCCACACTATAGGTACACATAATGTTACATGAGACTATAAACCATCCTCTTTTAGTGTCATAATGTTGACTAATGGCTAGTAATGATCACATTCTAGTCTTTATGAGATACAAGATAAGTCAATATACGTAATCAGGTAGTCATTGTTAGCACTTTGGATGAAGTCACTTTTTGTTTTTTGTTTAAAATTACTTCCTTACATCAGAAGTCACTTACAAATGTATTTTCTTGTAGCAAAAAAAGGAATAGTTTTTGTTCAAATTTGGATTTTGTCTTTATTTAATTCGCGGGAATTATTATCTTACTAGCTTTTACCCGTGGCTTCGCTCGCGTCACAAAAGGATAAAAAGTAGCCTATGTGACATATACCAATACACACAGCGCCATCTATACCAATAATTTCGTTTTCCCTCGAGAATATCAAATTTTCCGGGATAAAAAGTACCCTATTATCTAATCCGGACTTCTAACTTTATGTCTGCAAAAATTCAAAGCAATCGGTTTAGTAGTTACGGCGTGAAGGCGGCATTTATAGATGGAATATAAATGAATTTAAAATTTTATGTTTATGTAAAGATGACTGTTTTAAAATGAAGTTCGTTGTTTAAACAATTCAATTCAGGTTCATGGACAAACAAAACGTAATTAAGATAATAACTATCTTAAATCAAGTTCATATATTTATTTATTGCAATTTACGGTATCATTTGGGCATTTATTTCGGGGTCAAACGATTAGTTTCGTACTCAAATTTTGTTCTAATTTATTTTAATAGATTGTTAATCCTAAACACGAAATTCTCTTTAAAACTGACTTAGCTATATAATAAAGTCCATTTTGTCTCACAGAGATGGACTCATTATAGTAGACTTCTTTTACTTTTTACAAAATACTATTTTATGATTGACTGACCGCCTCGTTGGCCGCGTGGTCGCAAGTGCGATTGCCGTATAAGTAATTTCGGTTTCAATTCCCGGGTCGGGCAAACCATTCGGCCAACGAGGCAGTCTCTTTATTATGACCTACAATTACTAGGATTTTTATTATCGCCAATATTTCGTTGGTAAGGTTAACATTTCATTTTTTATAGCATACATAAGCCGGTGAACGAGCAGACGGATCACCTGATGGTAAGCAATCGGCATTGCCCATGGACACCTGGAACACCAGAGGCGTTACAAGTGCGTCACCGGCTTTTTGGGGATTAGGAGTTTGAGGATCCTTGGGGATTTAGGGATTGGGGAGATTGGGGAAGGGGAAGGGGAAGGCCTCCGGTAACCTCATTCACACGACGAAACACAACGCAAGCGTTGCTGCAGGTCGGTTTTCTGTGAGGCCGTGGTATCACTCCGCTCGAGCCGGCCCATTTGTGCCGAAGCATGGCTCTCCCACACTTTCATAGGCCTTAAACTGTCAAACACCGCGAGGACACCGGTGACCGCAACCTATTCTTCTTTTTGTGTCTATAATGATAGTACTCAAAGGGTTAAACTATCATAGAAAAATAACCATAGGTCACTGGAATACGTAAGATAACTGAATATCAAATAGAATTCTAGCGTTTACAAAACGTACGTGCGTATAGTGCCTTATGCATACAAAAATTCTTGGAAGTGTTTAAATACACTACATATTATAATAATTAAAATATCTGTCTTGTTGGCTGGGTGGTCGCAAGTGCGACTGTAGGATCTCGGGGCTCGGACTGCAGAAGGAGTCTCGATTTCGATTCCCGGGTCGGGCAAATTTATACTGGTTTTTTTTTAAAGTAATCTCAATAGTAGCACAGGCAGTGATTCACATTACGGCCCTTAATGCCACTGTACAATGTAACACCCAATTTTTACTATTTATATTATAAGTCCCATGTAATAGGGGGTGAGCCTTTTGCCATATACCGGGCACAATTCAAGACTCCGTACTATTACTGAGATTTTTTTAAAACCCAGTTATACTTTGCCCTACCCTGGAATCGAACCTGAGACCCCTTGCCCGGCAATCGCACTTGCGACCACTCAGCCAACGAGGCAGTAATTTTTCATTCATTTACAATGTAAGCTATGTTTACAATCGTGATATGTTTCCTAGATAGGTATAACTATCAACTCGAGTACCGTCATAATAGACACAATTAAAGAACAATAGATTGTGGTCACCGGTGACCGCGCGGTGTTTGACAGTTTAATATTGTGATACCCACTCGCTATTAATATTTAGTATCATTACAATTTTGAAATTGACTGCACGGTTGGTGCGGTGGCTGGGCAACCGGCTGCCGTGCAACGTGTCGCGGGTTCGATTCCCGCACGGGACAACACTTTGTGTGATCCACAAATTGTTGTTTCGGATCTGGGTGTCATTGTGTATGTGAACTTGTATGTTTGTAAACGCACCCACGACACAGGAGAAAATCCTAGTGTGGGGCAAGGTTTTTTTTAAAAAAAATAACAGTAAAAAAAGAATAACAAAAAAAAAATTCTAGTGTTATATAGGTACAAACTTAATTTACCTTAAAGATTAATGTACATTTCCTCAAGAAGCGAGGCATGAAGCCATAGGCAAAAACTTAATACTTTTACACACGCTGTTATATACTTTCTTAACACATTCTAGTTATAACCATAACAAATCGCATACATGATATTTAATTTTATAGCCCTTAATTTAAGGTTACATTTTCAGTAACCTTTGAATCAAGTCCTGTAGTATTGAATTACAATATTGCGATTTGTAATTTCACATCCCTTGACTTAAGGTTTAATTTTCAGTGAGCACCGCTTTGCAAACAAATCCACCATACTATCAATTTTCAATGGATGGTGATCAGCACAACACAGGTATTAAGCCATAAACATAGTCTCCACATCCGATGGACATCGTAACGTATAATAAAATCGAAAACAAACCACTATCTGTGACAAAAGCCTTGATCTAGAAACGATTTAAAAAAAAACACTCGTAATTTTTTTTTGTAACTTTTTTTTAACAACTTCGCGTAAACCCTAGTTGTCAATTACAGATTCTAAGTAAACATAAAAAAAACAAGGTCAGTACTAAAAGATATTACCCAGCCAGATTTAGGAGTCCTTCGCATGCATGATTTACTTCTAACACAATGAAAATCACCACACGGTCGGTTCACAACTGCCATATAAAAATTAATTTTTATTATTAGTTGAATTTAGAACACGATCGCGCGCATGCGCTTTGCACGTAACACTGAACTGAGTCGGAAGGTGCGCTCGAGTGATGCGCTGTTATCGATAGTTTGTATTAACGATGTCCGTGAGTAATGTTTGCTTTTATTGTGATGTTAGTATTAATGGGTCACGGTTTAACGTTATGCGTACATCAGAATTGAATGACATCGTTTAGTAAAATGTCTTGTATTGGTTATTCTCATGGTTATTTTTTCCAATTAATGGAATTTTAAAATAAATGTCCTGTTTATCGAGGACGTAAACGGAAGCAGACCTATAATGGGTCTCAAGTAATAACATAAGCCTATTGTCATATGTTCAACTGATTTATACACAGAAATAATAATAAAAATATTATTGAACTAGGGAATCTCACTTAAAACTTGCTTTTTGTCCTTAGTAGTCGCGCTACGTGGTTCAAATTCAGTTGAAAATCAATAAAACGCAAATGAAATAAAATAAGAAACACTATAGCTCTGTGACACAGTAAAAATGTACAAACATCACATTTCATCGAAATGTACATGAATGAGTAACAAAAATTCCATCAGTTCACAAAATATAAAATTTAAAACATCACAAAAATGAACAAATAAAATAAATGCAATTAAAAACATCGACTGTTCGCACCACTAGGGTCGTCAGAACAAGCCACGGTACACTGCGCACAACACTACTCAGTTATGGAAATTAACTTCGGACTTAAAAATAAAAACACGGAGTAATTACCATCGATATGGTCACTGACCATCACTATGTCTTGAAAGGGTCTTTATTTTGTTAAATTAGCAATGTTTAGAAACTTTCCGTCTACTTCCGCACTTATAAATCTAGACTAAAATTTCCTGTTATCTATTCTTAGATTTAAATTTGAATATTATCTAATATACATAAGTGAGAGTAAGTACTATAATCTTCTTAAACTGGCCTATAAGAATTCTTAAACATTATTTTGAATGAACTTATAGAACAGCCAAGCCAGCGGTAGGTACCTACTTAAAACTATTCTATACCTAAAAATCCCTGATATATGTGTAAATGAAGCTCTCCATTCTTTATTTAAATTTGAATTTCCCGCGCATTGGAGTCATACGCTAACTGTGGACAGCAAGCCTGTACTAACTATGATTGTGTGTGTAAAATTTTGGTGAAAACGTTTCACTAAATATTGTTAAAATAATAGGAATATATATATGATAATATAACTAACATATTACATAATTATGTTTAAAATATTCGTGTAACATACTAAATTAATTATTATCTTTTCGGCTTACGGCCTCTTGCACGGCTTGAAACTTGTCGAGTTCCGCGTCAATTACGTGAGTAATCCGAAAACATAACAATTATCCCCGATGTATGTTTTTTCCAAGTTCTTTAAGATATAGATTATAACTAGCAACGCAATATCAGTCAACAGCCTCTAACCTTCTATAAAAAAGGACTTCTACAAACTATTACTAACTATAAACTTATGATATTAAGTTTTTGGTTGAACCTATCATTGTTGTTTAACTCGTCGAGTACCGGTTTTATAGACACAATTAAAGAACAATAGGTCGCGGTCACCGGTGACCGCTTGGTGTTTGACAGTTTAATCTATGTTTCTCTTATTTTGTTTTCTTTTTATTATTATGTTACCCCCACTACCATTCCCTGAATCTATTTCAAAAATTCTATCCAAAGATGGTCGTGAAGAAATCGTCGTGTGTGGTAAGACCGTCCATTATACTCAAATTACTATTAATTACCCAAATTACTTAAATTAATAATTATTATAACATTTTTTTATGTACCTACGCACACATACATACGAGGATACAGCTAGGCTCAATTACCCCTCCCCCCTTTCCCAATCCCTGAATCCGGCGACAAAAACAATCTTCAAATTTCTAATCCTAAAAGACCGGTAACGCACTTGTAATGCCTCTGGTGTTCCAGGTGTCCATGGGCGACGCCGATTGTTTACCATCAAGTGATCCGCCTGCTAGTTCACCGGTTAATCCAATAAAAAAAATACAGAAAAAATTTTGAATAGGTAAATAAAGTATAAATAAATTAAAAAATAAATATTTACAAAACCGATTTTCGATTCTTCCCAAGATATGCAATCATTCCATCATACCATAGGTAGTAGATGATTACCACAAGCATCAGACTGTGATGATCATATTTACGGCCTTGTAAACCGTTTGACGTTGTAATCTTAAAGTTATTGTCTTCTACAATTGCATAATTGTTATACCGGTTTCTGGTAACTTTGCGCAATTGTCGATAGCCGTAGGTACCTTTTTTTTCTAACGCGATGGAAATCCTCATGGATTTCACACGTCGGTCGTGGGGACGACGGAGGGGGGGGGGTAGACTTGACTTGCGGTTAGTGCGGTGGCTGGGCAACCAGGTGCCGTGCAACGTGTCGCGGGTTCGATTCCCACACGGAACAACACTTTGTGTGATCCACATATTGTTATTTCAGGTCTGGGTGTCATTGTGTATGTAAACGTGTTTGTTTGTAAACGCACCCACGACACAAGAGAAAATCCTAGTGTGGGGCAAAGTTTAAAAAAAAAAACCACGGTGTTCCTCCTTTGCCTATGGCCGTGACCCGAGATGCCCTTGCAGAATCACCATACCCGGCAGGCCTCGACCTACCGATATATTGAGATCCTACCACGAAGTACCCCTTGCAGGATGATTTCCTTCCTCGAGTGGCGCGCTTAGAACATAACGCTAACGCCTATTCTGTATTAACCTTATGCAGTATTTGTTATGCGAAACTCAACTCTACTGCATTTGAAATAGATTTTGCAAACATTTTTGTTATGTAATAGGAATTTGGTATTTAATGCTTTCGCATACTATATGCTTCGAATTTCTGAAATAGCTTTAGAATATTTTATTAGCCATATTTGCATTTGTTAACTGCTATATTGGAATAACACGCACGATTTGCACATTGTAAAGTAATCTCTATCTCCGGCTCGACGTGCAGGAGAAGGAACGGGGTGGTTTTTAGTCAGTAAGAGTCTGACACTCCCTTCCGCCTCACCCAGGCGGGAGCAGTCATTCGATGATTTTCCCCCCTTAAAAAAAAAAAAATAAAATCTGAAAATGTTTTTTTCGAGAAGGCCAGTTATAAAACACTACAACGAAACAATGTAACCAAGAATATTTTTTTTTTTATTTATTATTACATTTCAGTACAGTTTAAAAATTTTTTTTGCACCATTAAACCACATCTGGTTGGTATTGGTACTCACATTCGCTTAACAAGTTTTATGTTATAAATTTATAAACCCATTCAATATGACAATTATGTTGATATAATAATTGTATTGTGAACCTAATTGAAAATGGTTACATCATTATTTTTGCACCATCTTCTTTACTTTACTAATTTAAAATTAAAGTAAAAAATGCCATTAAAGACTGCTAGTTAGTAATAAATACATTTTAAATTATCATTCACAGTTTTTCTAACATTTTTGCAAAGGTTGACGTTAGTTATTATAATTTGTGGGAACATTGACCGATGTGCAAAAACAGAGTCGTCATAATTAACGCTTTGAAAATTAATAATTAAATTTTTATTCATTATTTTAAGTTTGAATGATATTAGAATTTGGACGTAATTTTTAGAGAGAAATAACTTCATAAGTATTTTTTTGTTTCAGAACATGTTATAGTTTTGTTGAATACCAACTATTCTGTAGAAAACAGTTGACAAAAGTATTGGTAACTTCAAAAATAATGCGAGACTACACAATTGCACGTGCGAATGGGCAACAGAGTACCGCGCAATGTAGTGGGTTCGATTCACGTATGGAACAACTTTTTGTGTGATCAACAAATTGTTGTTTCGGGTCTGGGTGTCATGTGTAGGTGAAATTGAATATTTGTAAACGCACCCACAATACCGAAGAAAAACCTAGTGTGGGGCAACGTCTTTATTAACAAATTTTTTTGTTCCAAAAACTTCATAAATCAGGAATTGTTTCAAGAGTGTTTTGAAAAAATTAAGTAATTTAAACTATATTTTCTTTGATTTTCTCTTTAAAAATATCACAGGAATTAACCATTTCTATTTATAAGTACTTACTTGTATCGAACTAATTTTGTACTAAGACAGTTTTACGTGGAAAGGCCTTTGACCTCATGTCAATGACGGAATACAATCATTATTCTCTCATAACAACACATTATGTTAAAGACATTGACACTGGTAATTGCTTTGTATTGTATTGTTATAAAACCAGTTTCGTGACTTGTCTATCTTGTCCTAGATTGTGTAAAGATAATATTATTATGTCCTAGTTTTCCGCCCTGGGCTTCTCCCAAATAGAACCTAAAGGTGTTTTTTTATTGAGTCCCGGTCCTTTGAAGAATATTGGGATAAATCAGCAACGCATTTCTCACTCCTTAAATCATGCAGAAGTCCAATTTCTATAGGAAGGCAACAGATAAATATTGCTTATCATTAGGACACCTGTCTACTCATTGGGTATGTATCTCATAAAATAAAACTTACCATTGATAGGAGAACTTTTGAAACCAATTCCATAATTTCAGATCCTATTCAATGCAAAGAAACAATCTAACCTTTTCTCCATTTAATATGTATTTTAGTACCCGTACTATAATGTAGGTATACTAGCTATACTCTCAACTTGGTCTGCGTTTTTAAAATAAAATTAGCCTATGTTACTCCTTAGGACATCAGCTACCTGCCAATAAGTGCCGTCGAAATCATTAAAACCATCGTCTCTGTCGTGTTGGTCGTGTTGGTCGTGTCTGTCGTGTCTGTCGTGTCTGTCGTGTCTATCGTGTCGGTCGTATCGGTCGTGTTGGTCGTGTCTGTCGTGTCTGTCGTGTCGGTCGTGTTAGTCGTGTCGGTCGTGTTGGTCGTGTCTGTCGTGTCTGTCGTGTCGGTCGTGTTAGTCGTGTCGGTCGT